TGAATGACTTTCTGTTGAATCAGATCCTCAGAAACCCAGTAGAGGTGATTAGCTTTGGGTTTAACCTAAAAGCTGAAGCATTTATCATTTTTTATCTATGTTTGGGTGTGAACTTGTTACGTTAATATTTATTTTTCCTAATGCCAATGAAAATATTAGCCTGTAACTTGACACTTCACCTTCAAATCTTACTGGTTTTTGGGCCCTTTTCTTGTTAAGGGGGAAAAAAAAAACCTGGAAGCTTCAATGATTATTTATAAAATGATCACATATAGAGTTGACATACTACATATATAACCGCATACTTGAATATGAAGTTGTAAGATAATGAGCTCATGTTTTCCCCTTTGGCATTAGAAATAGTAAATGATACTTCTGTGGGTAATACAAATGAGGAAAAAGTCTTTAGTAGATGTAGTATAAAGTTGTTTGCATGATGTCAGCAAAAACGGCAAGTTCTCCATCTTAGGTGATACAACAGATCACATTGCAGTAAGAAAGGCACAGTGCTAACTGCAGCACAAACATTTCTGTGGTAATCATGCACCAGTGTCTCACATTTGCCTACCTTAAACTCAAGTGATTGCTTAGAAATTTTTTTCTCCTCATCAGAACCAAGCTGATTGTTCTTTACCCTCTTCTGACTTTATGTGGCTCCAGACTCCATGTTCTGTGACCCTTACTTGAGCCCCCACATCATAGACATAGGGGAAGAGCATGAGTTTGGGAGTAAGGCAGGTCTGCATAGGGATCCTAGCTCACTGACATTTACCGGCTGTATGATGTTGGACCAGCTACTTTACTCCTTTGAGCCTCTTTTTTCACATGTAAAATGAGGGAAGTCATACAGCTTCATAGGATTGTTGTGTCCATTAATGACTTGCAACAGTGCTTTGAATATAGTAAGAGCTACATAAATGTTCAGTAAATAAATTTAAGTACCTGTCTTAGGTAACTAGTGCTGCTATAACAAATACCACAAGTGGGTGGCTTTAACAGACAAATTTATTTTCTCTTAGTTTAGGAGGCTATAAGTCCGAATTCAGGGCATTGTCGGTTCTAGGGGAAGGCTTACTATCTTCCTATGGGATCTGGGGGAAAATCCTTGTCTCTTCAGCCTCTGTTTCCTGGTTCCTTGGAGATCTCCTTGTGGCTTGGCATCTTTCTTCCTCTTTTCTTCCTTAATCTGCTCCTTTTATATCTTGTAAGAGATTGACTCAAGGCGCACCCTACATGAATCCTGTCTCATCAACATAACAAAGACAGCCCATTCCCAAATGGGATTAGAACCACAAGCATGTTGTTGTTAGGTGCCTTCCAGTTGGTTCTGACTCATAGCACCCCTATATAGAACAGAACAAAACATATAGAACAGTCCTGCCCCATCCTCACAGTTGTTGTTATACTTCAGCCCATTGTTGCAGCCACTGTGTCAGTCCATCTTCTTGAGGGTCTTCAGGCATAGAGATTAGGATTTACAACACTTATTATTGGGGGACACAATTTAATCCATAACAGTACCAAGTTCATTGCCTACAGATAGTGAGCACTCAGCAAATAACTACAGTTATTCAGTTATTCAACAAACATACCTTTAGTGCCAAGCCCATTTCTAGTCACTGGGATAACAGACCAGGTTTCTCCACCAAAGAGGTTACATTCTAGTAGAGAAGACAAACAATACATGAGCAAATATGTAAACTAATAGCCAGTCATAGTAAGTTCCATCAAACAGGTAAAGCAGGTTATGGGTTGGAGAGTGACCAGGGGGACTGCAGATGCTGTTCTAGGTAAAGTGATCGGGGCAGGCCTCTCTGAGGAAGTGACGTTTAAGTAGAAACGCTGCTCATGTTACTCTCTTTAGTATTTGCTCCTTGATTTCTCCCTGCACATTTTGGTGGCTTATCTCTCTGCTTCCGATATCCCTGTATACCTCAGCCAATCAAATTTTCATTGGCTTCAGAAGGTGGAGTCAGGAAATTTTTTGATCTATGCCTTAGTACACTATGTATAGTAGTATACTAAGAAAAGGGTTGAAATGTTAAAGTTCTGAATTTGTCTTTGTTCTGAGTGGACATCCTTCCCTTGGGAAAGCTTTGCTCTCAAAGGAAGGGTATTGGGCTGACAACCTGACCGTCACACTTTATTTCATTCACACTTTATTTGATCACCTTTCTAAATCCATCTTAAACTCAAGACAACAAAAATGCTAATGACTGTCATTTAGTAAGTGCCAGGCACTGAGCTGGGGCTTTACGGATGTTTTCCTATTTAGTTCTCACAGCTAACTTTATGAAGTAGATATTATATTTTTTAATTACAGATGAGTAAAGTGACTTTGCCCTAAAACAGACAGCTAGCAGTAACAGAGCCAGGACTCAAGCCTAGAGCTTTCTGATTTCAAAGCATCTACTTTTACCAGCACCCTTATTTGCCTGAAGTGATAATTACCACCGTTCTCATTAATCTGCACTTAAAAAATACTTTATCTTAGAAGAGTAAGATGGTTTAAATATAATGGACATGTATGTTATATATATAAAGATTTGATAATGGAGAATGACATCAAGCTTGGTAAAGTGGAGGGTTAGTGAAAAAGAGGAAGACCATCAACAGATGGATTGACACAGTGGCTGCAACAGTGGGCTCAAACATAGCAATGATTGTGAGGATGGTGCAGGACCGGGCAGTGTTTTGTTCTGTTGTATATAAGGTCACGATGAGTCAGAACCGACTTGATGGCACCTAACAACAACAATTATTTATTGTATTATTTTATATCAGGCATAATAAATAAGACCTATTTAAAAATTCATCTTTATTGAGCAACTACTTTTCGTTCAAATACAAAATTTTCCTAACATATGCCAGGCACTATTGTAATACTGTAATGCTAGGACTACCATTAATATGTTTTGAGCATATTCTATTTTCATGTGTCATAACATTTAATCTTCACAATAATCCTCAAAGATAGGTATTTTCACCCTTATTTTGTAGATAAGGAAATTGAGACTCAGAGCATTGAGTAAAATATCCAAAGTTAAATAGCAGGTGGTGGAACCAGACGAGTGGTCTATTTGACAGGAGAGCCCTACATCATCATCCTTCACTAAGAAACACAAAAATACATGGTCTTAGCTCTCCAGAAGCTAAGCCAGAGGTACTATCAGTGTAGGGTGATAGACATAACAGTTTATATACACGTGTTATAATTTTTTTCTCAATCCCCACAGTAACCCTTATCAAATGGTGGTGGTGATAGTGATAGTGGTAGCATGATGTAGGTGATATTACTAGTGTTATTATTATATGTGTGCTTAAATATCTGCAGTTCAAGGCAAAGTGGTAAGTGCTCTCTATAGTAAAGAGTCAAGACAAAGTGCTATGGGAACCAAAAGGGAGAAGGGACATTACTTGCAGTACGACCAGGGAGAGCTTAACTCAGACATTGGGAAAGCAGTCATTTGACCTGGGCCTTGAAAGATAGAAATGGCTTCTGTATAGGTCTCTAATGTCATCACCAGTTGACAGAGGGTGTATCTAAAAGAAATAACTTGGTCACATAACCAACTGACAGAGCAGGGATTATAATTTGGTTTGCTTTACCCTTCACCTAGGACCCTGACCTTTGTCTAGGGCAGCATACTGTGAAAGACTCATTGGCCTTCACCTTTGACATCACTTTGTGAACAAAGCTAGGTCCCTGGTTTTTGTAGGATTCCTGAAACAAAGTATGTGAGTTTGAGGGGGAGAGATAAGTCACAAAAGATTAGGGTGTGTGCTAGATCAACCACTCCTTAGGAGTCAGAGGATCCCGATTCTGCTGCTGACCTTTGTGTTTGTGGCCTTGGATGTCAATTTCCTTATCTGTTAAATTGCTTATAGATCAGTGTTCCTCAGACTTTTGCATGCTTCTGAATCACCTGGAGAGCTTGTTAAAACAAAGATTGTTGCCCCCCACCCCAAGTTTGTGATTCAGTAATTCTGGGATGGAGCCTGGGAATTTGTATCTAACAATAGCCAGGTGATGCTTATGCTGCTAATTCAGGGACCAAAGTTTGAGAACTGTCGAGATCATCTCTGAGATCTCGTTTCTTCTTTAATGCTCTATTTAAAAACTCTAATAGCATATAAATCAGGTGGTGTAAGCCACATAGCTCCACCTCCAACTAAGTATGCCATCTTGAGCAGTCATTTAACCTTTCCCTGCCTATTTCTTCAGTAAAGTGGAGCTCATAGCTCCCTGTGACATAGGAAGAAATCCCTTTTGAAAAGAATACCCTATCACTTATCAGTTGTGCATATCTATGTTTAAAGTGAAGATTCTGCTTTGACAGAATCCTTGAGGAAACTACAGACTACCTTTAAAGTGAAAAGTTTAGCAGAAAACGACTCCTGTTTTCCCTCTTTATAAAGAAAAAGAAGCTTAGTGCAAGAGAAAGTGTTTCCATGGAGAATATACTTAAAATCCAAATGAGCCATGAGGGACCCAATCCTATTTGGCAGATAAAGAAAAGTTTCCGTTCCGTCTACTTAACAAATTAATAAAAAGGAACATAAATAAAAGAGAATAATAACTCAGAGCTATCTGGGCACCTGAGTCTGAGAGCCCTTTAGGGCCTTGGCACCTAAAGAGAAGGGGGAAAAAAGACCCCTGTCTCCGAGGCTTTCAAAGTAGCCTTCCTTGAGGCATTAGGGAAGCTCTGGGGGCCTTAAGAGCTGAAGGGCTGTGATGCCTGAGGCATGAGTCTGTTTGATCCAATAAAAAGCCAGAAAAAAAATGGCTGATAAGTAATTTTGCTATTTCATGTAGTGCAAAAGAGAAGGCGAAACACCAGAATATTCAGTGAGCCAAAGCACAAAATGTGGCATGGGTGTGAATGCAGGGTGACCCCCTCTCAGGAACATTTCTAAGCCTGAATGAAGCACTCCCTGCCGAGGCTAATGTACAATAGCATGCCTTTTAAACCACGGTGACCCTTTTGTTTCTCTGATAGGCGAAGATGAGGATGAATTTGAGAATTTCATGCTGCCTCTTACAGTCTCTTTCGAAACAGTATTACAGATATTCAACAACAACTTTAAACAAGAAGATGTAAAGGTGGGTTTGTTTCCAAACATGAGGAAAGACAGTTTTGCTCTTCATAGAGTATCTAGATCCAGAGAAGAGTTTTGGATATCTGTGTGTGCTTCATGCCTCATCAGCCCTGCTTTCCCCGTTGCATGTGTCTTTGCGTTGTTTTTCATATATGCACTTTTCTAGTTTCTCATGCATAACCGACTTCGAAGTCAGCAAATTGTTTCAGCCAGTCAGTTCATGATTAGATGGCACAGATTTGTCTCTGGTGGCAGTTACTATCTTTAGTAGAACGTTTCTTGTGGGCACACCACTTTAAACATCCCTATTCCCTCATCTACCCTACACTGAATGTTTCAGTATATTTATATGAAGGAATGCACAGACATAGACATGCTAAAACAGTACATCTCTAAATATTTCTTAAACAAGAATTTATATAAATCAAGACTTTATTAAATGGTTAGGCGTATATGTATAAATAGGAGCTGGTCTTGAAGTATTGCATTCTTAAACTGAACAAAGTGATTAGGGTAACTGATAGCTAAATAAGGTTTTTATGTGCCTGTGGGAGCCATATTAGGATTGATTTGACAAGTCAGTTCAGCTGTGGCAACAGTCATACTATCTAAGGCAACATTATGTTTTATTAGTAAAATCCTTAAGTGTAGCAAGCTGTTTGTGACAAAACAGCCCCATATTTTAAGATGGGGGATGGGGGAGCACAAGGTTAGCTAAATAGAAATAGTGTCTCCTGAAATTACAGTGTATCGAGGCTATATTAAATAGATTGACACTGATTATTATTTTTAAAAGACTAATAAATGCACTCCAGAGAATGCAGGCACCTTTGTTAATGATGCTTGAGTCATATTTTATTGTTATTTTGATATATGTTAGAAATATTAGCTGTCATTTTGCATGGCTCATCTTCCCTTCACCAAAAAAAAACCAGTAGTAAGAAGCCAAATAAACAATGGATGGCCTTTGATGCTTATTTTAGTGTAACTCTTCTACCAAAAAGTAATTAGCCAAATACTATACCTTTTAATTTAAAACAGCATACCATAGTCACAGAATCTTAAAAACTAAAAAGGACCTTATAGATTTTCTTTATGTTTATATTCCTGCTGAAATTCTTCACCAGAGTTTCCACTCCAGTTAACTTTTTTTTTAAGATATCATTGAGTATTTTAATGACTAACAAAGTCTTTGCAGCTTTAATGTGGCTTTTGCTGCCCTTTATTAAAAAGAAACAGTGAGGTTGAAAAACACCATCTTTATAAAAATTACATTTGTCTCATTTGAAGATTTCATTATACTCCAAGCCCTTTTTGATGTAATCCCATCTAGTTTGATAGAAACCATCTTCCTAGAGTCATTTTTAATGGAGTTCCAGTGATATATCCCTAAACCAGCAAGTTCTTAACGACCCTGGAAAGTGACTGCTTGATTACACTTTAACGGTATTTGCAAATAAAATCACAAGTAATTAAGGGGAAATCTCCAGGCTTTTGAGCAAGTTTGATGCATGATAACTGCCTGATTCGGCTTCATCTAGAGTAATGCTGTGTAGGCAACAGCTACTGAGATCAATAGCAACGTAATGATAGTGGCAGAATTAAGTGAGTAACCTGAGAACTGTGCCTCAGAATGCATGCAGCTGCCACGAACCAAGGCCACACAGTGCACTCCGTGCTTCCGTCCTAAATGTTCATCAAAAGACGCCCTGCAGGAAAATGGAGTTAGATGCTCTTTATTGCTGATCGTGTCTCTTGCCACATTTATCAGGGAAATTGGATTAGCAGTTGGCAGCTGCAGGTAGACAAGATTCTGCAGTGATTAAATATGCAGCTTGGCTGCATTTGTTGTGACAGACCTTTAGTAAATTCTACTGTAAGCACCATCTGTCTAATTTGTATAAAGAAAACTTGGTGCTTTAAGCTACCGATAAAGAACTAAATCTGTTGCTTTATCGTAAACAAAACTTTTGCAATGAATGCTTTTAAATGTAATTTATTAGGTTAAGGCTATTTTTCTGTCATGATGAATAAATAATACATGCAAAAGGGCTTTTAGGTACTTCATTTTGCAAGTACTAGAGATAAAAACAGTTCTGTTTTGTTCTTCAATAAAGTATTTAGTATTCCAGTCCACAGGAGGTGATGCTGTTAAAATATCTCTATGAAAATGCCGCAGGACTGCCAAATTCATTTAATTTGCAACCTTTACCAGGATTTTCTAACTCCTTATTTATAGATATTTTTTCAGATGCAGATTTTAGGACGAATTTAAACATTAAGGACCTGCGTTGCCAAATTGAAATATGGTTGTGAGGGGAGAGAATGCTGCAAAGCTCTTAAATTTATAGCTTTGTGTTTTTTACTTAGTCCTAATAAAATTGAAGAGAACACTGAATTTTTGTCTTGGGTTTTTCTCTTCAAAGTAAAGAAAGAAAACGTTGTGACAAATCCTGGCTCCAAAGCATTATTTCAAAATATAGGTTTTTTTCACCCCTAAAATTGCATCCGTAGTAAAATATAGTTCAAGACTCTTCTGACTCCTGCATCTTTTTTGATTCGGCTATGATGTCATCGGTTTTAAGGAAAATGAATGAAAACTTCTCGGAGGAAGGGGAGCAGTTAAATAGGAGCCTGCTATCTTTAGTCTCTTCGTAAAAACTCCACAATGTTAAATTATTTAAAATCCTTGATTTTCAGCATGCACACATTAAAAGTTTTCGCACTAAGTGCCAAATGTTGCAAACAGCACTTTAACAGAATGATTTTGCTTTGATCCCTGTAGCAGTTCCTGAATAATTTATCACAGGTTATTGCCTTAATTCTGGAGAGGGATAGAGCAATAAAGGCAGATGAAAACACTCCAGTTGAAACACCTTGGGGCTTGCTCATTCCTCTGACACGGCTCTTTTGTTGGAACTATTTAGAGGTTATTAAGATGTGTCTCCAGAATTAAGAGTATGCTGTAAGGATGAAGACAGCCATCTTAATTCTAAAGACAAAGCACAATGACCCTTCACCTTATTTTTCTTTGTTGTTATTATATAGTAGAATTATGAGGATAATATTATAGCTGCCCCCAGTAGTGCCACTACAGTAAAGGGTCTGTCAGACTTTCCATTAGAAACCCTGTTTTGGGGGGTCAGGGTGGAAGGAGCCGCGTTTCAGCTGTTCCCAGCCCATCCGTCTCACGCTTGGCACACAGACAACTATTCACCATACAGCGGACTGAAGCACTCAGCAGTTTCTCCTTGAAATACCCAAAAAGGAATCCTTAGGATTATCTGCCCCAGACTTACGCCACTCCCCAAAATAGCCTCACTAAAAATAAAGATGCTTGTCATTTTTCAAATCAATCAAGTGTTAACCAACCACAGTACAGAAGAGGAGAAAGGTACTTTTGAAATAGACCTCTCTGTACTTTTTTAAATGAGATGGTAAATTGTGGCTCCTTCCCCCTCAATTTCAGTCAGATCACCTCTCTCTCAGGTTATTTAGTAGCCTGATTGAGCTCCTAGTTAACAGCTTTCCTGTATCATACCAGAACTAGGTGTGTTTCAGCTATGGAGAAAGTACTCCCTTAGTGTTGTTTGTGTGTCTGTGTAAATTGTTCTAGTACTCGCTGCAGCTTTGAGATAAAAGGTATGAGCATAAGAAATCTGTTTCTTACTCACATTAACACTTTATTTTCCTGCTCAGTTAAATCTGTTTAAAATATGCATTTAGTTATTGCCATATGCTTCTTCTGCTCTGCAGTAGCATTTTCTAAAATAAAAATCTGGTATAATTCCCTAGCCACATTTTACTGAATTAAAAATACCCATAGATTCCCTGTCAGTTGGAGCACTTCTATTAACTTGACATCTTTTAAGGAAGGAAAAAATTGTGATAAAATCAAAATTAACCTTTTTTGTGTGGTAAAGATAGTCTAAAATAGTATTTTATTAAGAGCCTTTTATTGTAGGCACAAAGACAGTAAAACTCATGGTTCCTATTAACTGATTTACAGTTGAGTTGTGGGTACCTTATGTGTTTGTGAGAGTTTAAGATTATTTGAAGAATAGCCTGTAAGGTACATAATAAAAATAGAACCAAAAGGCCACTTTAATAGAAAGACTGCAGAGCTAAGTTGTCAGAATAGAATTGTTGGAAGAAGGCTTGTTAGAAGATGTATTTTGTTCTGAGGGCTGGAACAGGTTTCAGGTGGTGAAAATAGGTTACATAAACGGCAAAATGGTTTTTAAAAAAAATAGCAGGTCACATGCAAGAACTGCAAGGAAACCAGCCAATTATAGAAAAACAAGAACTGGCAAGATTATGAGAGAAGAAAGAGTAAGTCATTTAAAGAAGCAGAAACAGAAATTCAGTGTTCATTTTTAGAAATTCAGATAGCCTTCATTCTATAAAGTGTTAGGCTGTGTACAAACGGAATATTCTTACAAACAACATTTAGTTATATTGAGCCATCTTTTAGGTGGGAGGAGGAGAAGAGAAATTCCAGATGCTCTGACAGTTAGATAAACTATTGTATGCTACTTTGAAATGTTGTTTAACTATTAAGATGAGGTCAGAACTCACTGTCTGCTTAATGATAATCGTAAACTCCTTCCTAAAGAGATTTTCATGTTACCAGAATCCAAGGAAAGAAAAAAATCTGGTAAAGAGAAAAGTTCAGGTATCATTTTCTGCCAGAATGTTTCCACTGAAACATTATCTTCAGAAATCACAGTAGCATATCTCAATTATCCCACCCCCTTGTTTTGCAATTATGTTTATTTGTGCTCTTTGTTCTGACATTCTGGCATCTGTTCATGGGTTTTCTTTTTCTTCCCAAGCTTTATCTGAAGGACAGCTCAATTACGAGTCCAGAGTACAAGTCAGGTCTCCCTCCTTTAAGAGTCAAGTGTTTTCCATCTAAAAGTAAATACTTACAGAACACCTAGTATATGTTAGGCTCTGTGCTAGGTATTTTTCCATAAGCTTATTAAATTTATTCCTCACAATAATTTGTGAAAGGGGAATTATTAGCCCCTTTTATAGATGAAAAACTGAGACTGCTAACGTGCTTTGCCTTAAGTCTTAGAATTAAGAAGTAGAGCTGGACTCAAACTAAGTCTTCTGACATTGAGTATAAAACTCAATTTACCGTATCTTTTCCTTACTTTGGGTAATGCAGCTGCCATTCTGGATATGTCATAGTACCAATAGGTCACCAGGCCAGTTGTTTGTTTGTTTAAATAAATTTTTGTACTGCAGAGTAGTTTTATTTTGTCCTAAGTTATTAAGGATATTCATTAGGGATCTTTAAATGCCAGTGTGTTTCCAGGATAGTCTCCAAATTGTATGGTTCATACAAGCCAATGTGGTTAAAATTCGCAGTTATTAAATAATGTCTAGACCATGTACATTTCTGTTTTGTGGAATTATCTATTCTGGTCTTTTTTTTTTTTTTTCCTAATTTGGCATTATTCAGAAACAAAGTATATTAAGTACCTAAATGTGCCTAAGCTACTGGAATTACGACTTAGCTCATTTTATAAGAAGCAAGATGGAGTTGGTCAGCACATTTGATGGTCTGTTTGTTTAAAGAATCTATGAGTCTATGGTTTGCTATAGAAAGAGATCTGAGCGAGACATTTTAGCTAATGAATCAAAATCAGATATGTGGTCATTATTGCCTGATTATTACTCCATCTGCTCTGCACTAACGTGAAAATCAATTACTGTGTCTCTTTCCCACTGACAGCGTATGTTGATCGGGCTGGCAAGAGATCTTCGAGGGATTGCCTTTGCACTGAACACAAAGACCAGCTACACCATGCTGTTTGACTGGATGTATCCTTATTACACTGTGACAATACCAGCTCTGTGCACAGAGGGATGCCAGCCCCCTTGCTTTCGTTTAATAGTATGGCACAGTAGGGAAGAGGAAACAAAGCTAAATGAACTAATGTGTAATCAGCTAAAAATTACAGCACAGTGGCAGCAGTGCAGATAACTGAGCACAGCATTTGGAGACGGAGCTCAGAAAGGTCACTTTTTTGATGCCATTAAATATTGACAACTTAAAAATCACATCCCCAAATGATTGTTTCTGTTGGTGTTGCAGGGATAATCAGGCTAACGTCTTTAACTCAGAATCAATGAGTCCTACCATTTGGCATTTTTTAGGAGATTTGAATCCCTGTTCCATCTCAATTAGCAGGCCTGAGAATGTCCCTTTATCTGTTGGAGGCATAACTCGTTGTGCTGTAGTTTTTCATCATCATGAAAACATTAATGGACAGGAAAGGGGAGAAATAAATGGTTAGGATTTTTCGTTCAGTATAAGATTTGGATTTACCTTTGCCAAGACTTAGTACAGGCAGCAAAAATAAAAAAATCAAACATCCCACAGAAATGCCTCATCATGGAAGAGCGAAAAGAGCATGGCCTTTGGTGTCAGACAGACCAAGCTTGAAATCCCAGCTCTCTACTTACTGTGTAAACCTGGGCAAGTCCCTTCACCTCTCTGAGTCTCAGTTTCCTTATCTAAAAGAAGGAGATAATCCAGTATCATGGCTTTTTGTGAGCTTTAAAATATGTAATGCATTTTGTTCATGTCTGGCACATATTCTGTGGTCCTAAGTGGTTCTTATTTGTATTGTTTTAGGAGTTAGTATTGTAAGAATCATCATAGGTCCCAACAGGAGATGACAATCTATGCATGTTATTTGAGTATAATATAATGGCTTTCATGCCTTTTATACATGAAACCATCAGAGCACACAGGAAAAATTCTGTAGTCTTGAAGCTAATTTATTTTTCAAGTTACATTGTTTCTCAGTTGCTCTGTTCAAACTCTTCATATCCAGATGTCTCTCGTAAGTTAAATTGCAAAAGAAACTTCTTAAGAGGTAATTTTCAACTACTGATAGCATGGTTATGGCCCGAGATATACCTAAAAGGAGATCTGGGCATATTTTAGGGAGAATTCTACACGTTAAAAATTTTTTTAGAGATTAATTTGAGTAGTGGACATATTTTTGTTTTATTAAAACCTACTTCATTGGACTTATGTGCCCATGGAAGGGATAGAGATAAGAATTTTCTGTATCCCTGAGGAATCACGTGTATCTTTAAATCAGAGTATAATGTACACATACAGAGGTTGTAAATTTTAGCATGGAAAGTCACTATTTTAACTATGAAGGATAAACTGGAATTACATACAGTCCTTTCATTTCTCTGAACATAAATAGCAGCTAGCTTACCTCCCAAAAGGAAAACTTTCATTTATTTGAAACATCATAAAAATCTAGTGTTGACACTTTGCAACTGATGATGATCTTGAAGCCAAACTACAACCCCAGGACACTCAGCAGTTAACATTCATGTTTTCCTCGCCAACAGTTTTAACCAAGAGTCAGGGTCAGAACCTTTCCCCTCAGTGTAAAAGGATGGAAATGCCTGCCATAATTGATACAGCCTAAAATTTAGAGAAGATACTGTAATTTAAGTTTTCAATTAAGTCTTCTCCATTTCCTCACTTAGCTGTTTCTTTTTTTGGCACCCATCGGAAATGAAACTTTTGTCCAGCAGATGGCAGAAAATAGCAAACAGAAAACCTTGGGACTTAATGTTTTGTTTTGAACTAGAAACCGTTGTCTTCTCCATTTGACCAAAGATGTTGATGTTACTAGGGTCAGGGGCGGAGGGCGAAGTGTCAGGTATGCAGGAAGCTGTGTTGGATTGTCAAGCAGGGTGGTTTGGTACCTGCCTTGCTTATAATAATTGAGTTTCAGTAGCAAATCAGCTTCCTTGGGAAAAGGCCAAAGGCTCTTCATAATTGTATTGACAACAAAATGAATATGATAAATGGTGTTCATTCAGTTGAGACAAGATTTATAGTTTTCCTTTGGGCAAGGGATAAAGAGCAAATATTTATAATAATAGTAAAATTTGTTTAAAAGTTTCATTATTTGATAATTCAAAAAGCTTTATTAAAATATTTCAAAATACTTTAAGCAGTTTCAGGTGATAAAGTACAAATTCTTTCCAAACTATTCAAGTAATGCAAAAATGAATAAGTATATGATTTAAAAAAAAAAGGATATGAAAGTCATTTATTCTTCCTGAAATATTGATATGTCAAACCGTCAGTGATGATTCCCACATTACTGCTGGGGAAAGTTTATTTGCCTTTCATCCACATAAATGTGTGTTCTTTAATTTGTTATACAGTCCTTAACATGCAGAGGAAACATCCTGTAAGAGCACATGTCATCTTAAAGTCAAAACGCATTTTATTTATGGAGATTATTTGATAAAATGCTATTTTAGTGGTTAGCTATTTAATTCACAAATATTTCTATAAACACTGACTGCATTAACTGCTACACAGACTGCTACATTACTTATCACTCTGTCCTTCCCAAACTAAATTGCCTGAAACTACGTAGCAACCATCTTGATAAATTGTTTCCACTACTGGAGAATTGAAGGAGGATCATTGATATACTTCTTTGCCCCTATAGTGAGAACACTACAAAAGCAAGCACTTTACCTTACAGTGCATTTAATTGCCTTGTTTAAACTTTTCTCTTAGCATACCTAGACTGCGGTATCAAAAATCCAGAGAGAAGTTGAAAAAAAATAAATAAATAAAGGAATGTATACGTTAGTTCCTCACACTCAGTCATTTAATTCTCTCAGTCTGATCTTTGAGCCTACTAACTTTGGAATAGGACAGTCTTAGATTCCAGTTCTGATTTCACCACTAAACACCCTCCAGGGTGTTGGGTAAGTCACTTAATGTTTCAGAATCTTCTTCCATAAAACAGGGCTAATGATACCTATCTCACAGATGTATTGTAAGAAGTGAGTGAACTGACACTTAAAGGGCCCGGCGCTTTGTCTGGCACAAAGTAAATACTGTTGTTGTTAGTTCTTTTCCTTAATTATGGAATGAAACAAAGGCCATTAGCTCACTTATTCAGCAAATTGATCTAAGAGTTGTGCCATGTGTTATGAGGGATGTAGATTACTAGAACATAAATGCTACCTTAAAATGAGCTTATAGTGTAATAGAGTAAGTCAGATACCTACATAAATGACTGATATGGCACAGAGCGATTTCTTTAGGTAGAGAATCAGGGAATGCTCTGTAAAGTTGAAGATACTGCCCTGGATCTTACCAAGCAGGTTGGATTGGACCATGTGAAAATAAGAAGAATGATAGGTTTTCACTTGGACCAAACACCAGGTTTAGGAGTAGTGGAGAAGAAGATGTATTATTACTTATTTCATGGTTGGAAATGTAGATTGTTTGGGACCCTTGAATTAGGGCTGTCATGGTTTGAAATGTGTGTATCAGTTTGGCTGGGCCATGATTCCCGGAATTGTGTGGTTGGCCTCCATTTTGAGATTGTAATTTTATGTTAAAGAGGATTAGGGTGGGATTGTAACACCACCTTTACCCAGGTCACATCCAGTATAAAGGGAGTTTTCTTGGGGTGTGGCGTGCACCACCTTTTATCTCTCAAGAGATTAAAGGAAAGGGAAGCAAGCAGAGAGTTGGGGACCTCATACCATCAAGAAAGCAGGGCTGGGAGCAGAGCGTGTCCTTTGGACCGGGGTCCCTGCACAGAGAAACTCCTAGTCCGAGGGAACACAGAAAAGAAGAAGGCCGACAGAAAAAGCCTTCCCCTGGAGCTGATGCCCTGAATTTGGACTTTTAGCCTACTTTAACTGTGAGGAAATAAATTTCTCTTTGTTAAAGTCATCCACTTGTGGTATTTCTGTTATAGCAGCACTAGAAGACTAAGAATTCGATACCGAGAGAGTGGGGTGCTGCTCTAACAGATACCTAAAATGTTAAAATGTGGAAGTGGTTTTGAAACTCTGAATGGAGAGAGGAGCGGCAGTGGCAAAGGACCAGCAGCAGCAGAGAACCTACAGCAGCAGAGAAGCAGCAGCAGCAGAGAACCAACAGCAGCAGAACCAGGAGACCAGCGCGAGATGGCACGGCACTGGAGCCGACCCTCGGAGGGAGAGAGCTGAGTGCCTGTGCGCGGGAGGCTTCCTGGCGGAGTGGGGTGCCTCAGAGCACTTATCAGTGGAGCTAGGCCTGCCAACCCATGGAGCAAGGGAGCTGAGTGCCTGTGTGCAGGAGGCTTCCTGGCAGAGAGGGGTGCCTCCGGGCACTTACTGGTGGAACTACAGAGCTTTGGAACACTTGCCCCAGCAGGGCAGATGTGGGTGTGAGGCCCAAGGAGTCAAGAGGCCAAGAAACCAGAAAACAAGCTGAAGAGACAAGGGACATATAGCTGAGCTGCATCAGTCTCAAAAGATATGGCCATGACCTCAGGGGTTTCAAAGGGTGAAACCATAGCCTCTGGTGTTTCTAAGGGTGGAGTTGTCACTCCGATGGAGTAGGAGAATGGTGCGCCTAAAGCCAAGGGAGCAGAGTTGCTGTCCCAGTGGGCC